TTTTATTGGACCGTTATTGCTCTGATATAACACAATTATATATGTTATCAAGTGCGCGTGGTCAATAACGGTCAAATAATTTTGTTTTAAAAAAGGATGAGGCTAATTTTCCAACATGTACTTTGATCATTGAATATTTAATAATTTTACTAATTTTAGTAGAACAAACTGTAAAAATATGCTTTTAAAAAAATATATTTAGAGTGTTGCTGTTTGTAACAGTATGGTATTTCGTGTATTTTAGATTTAGACATTATAAACACTAAACGTCTTATTAGCACAAATAACAAAAACAAAAGCAGAACACAAATTGTTTTTAACGTCAACTGATGAACTAAAAAAACTTGAAATTATAAAAATATTACATAATATTCTGTGAGTATAGTCAATACTTTACATATTAAAAATTTATAAGAATTCTCTATATTATCATTATAACCGTACCGACAGCAGTTTTTTGTTATTGACAAATTCAATAACATGAGGTATTATAATAGAAATAGAAATATTTTTCCAGGTGAAAAACACCATTGTTACTCCTTTTTGTTAACCAGCACAACATGGTTTTTTTCTCTGTCTTAATTTTGCTGACTTCTTCAACTATAAATTTATATTCCAACAACGATTGTAGCGAAAAAAATAATACTGCATTTGATACGAGTTAATTTAAACATCAAACTTATTAAATTTGTTCTAATCAGAAGTAAATTGTGTATGCATGATTGTGTCAACAGTTTATAGCTAGGTATTTTCGACAAAGCTGCTTATTTGATTGATAATACTGTATTGCCAAGTGTGTAACGAATAACATCGCTTGTACAAACATAATATACCGTTTGTGAATACCTTTCCTTACGGTATTATATTCCAACCTACAACAGTACAATACTACATAGTATATTGCATTATGTATAGTAATTTTAATGAGTTGTAAATGTATATCTGATAAGTGCAAATCGAAAAGGAAATGAATCAAATACCGATTTCTACTTACAGCAGTAGCACAAAACTTCTACAGTAAGTCAGAATAAATGAAAAGTGTATGAACAGTGTCTATACTAGCGATGTATAACTACTGTAATTAAATTTTTTTGCAAGTATATATATATATATATATATAAAGCATTTCGGGGTCTACATAATAACTTCTTCTTCTTCGCCTTTCTCCCAACAATTTAGGGTCGGTCACCCTTGTTCTAAAATTCCACTCATCTCGATTTTCTATATCCTCTACGCACACATCAATAAGCCTCAAATCATTCTCAATCAAATCCAACCATCTCATTTTTGGTCTTCCTCTTCATCTTCCTCTTTTCCTTTCAACGTTCATTTCTATAAACACTATTACTGATTTTGTATCAGTATCCGTACATCATTATCATCAACCTATGTTGTATTATTATACTCTCTCCAGGAATTACTTTACAATATTTTACTATTTTTATTCTGTATCTCTTCCACATAAATAAATCAATCTGCGACCTATTTCTTCGTTTCTTATTTATTATATAATGCGTATATTCATTAAACTTTATATTCATACACTCTTCTCTTTTTCTAAACTATCTATTAATTATTGCAAGTACATACAATTATGCAAAATCCAAAACTTTTTCTCTAGCCTCATTCCTCTCACCAAATCCATAACCTCCATGCACTCTTTCATACTCTACTCTCTCACTACCTATATGTACATATCACCAACAATCCTAATATCATCATTTCCTGGTATTCCTTGCATCAATTTTAACCATTTCTCGCTAAAAATCTTCCTTTCTCTTTCATCACATTCTATTTGTAGTGCATACGCACTTATTACATTTAATAATTTTTCGTCAAATACCAATTTTACCGAAATAATTCTATCCCTTTTCTTCCTACATCGACTACTTTACTTTTCATCTCCTCATTCAATAATACTCCAATCCCATTCCTTGTACCAGTCCTACCTGAGTATATTATTTCATAGTCCTCTCCTATTTCTTTTGCTTTCTTTCCTTTTCACTTAGTTTCCGGCACACAAAAAATATTAACTTTCCTTCTCATCAATACATCCACTAATTCTCTACTTCTGTATGTTAACGTTCCAACATCCAACATGCCTATTCTCACTTTATACTTATCCATTATCAATTTATACCTAGATTCAGATTTAATCCGGAACGTAAAAATCACTACACCGTTGACATTACCCATGTTGAGTAGACCTGAATATATGACTGGTGAACCAGCTATCACAACGGCTGTCCGAATAGTATTACACACTTCATTATCTAGGCCTCCTCCACCTCTAACTATGGTACTTCCTTTCACTTGTCGTACCCATGCACATCCATAAAGGGGCAAGCCGCCTAAGTTTTGTTTCTAATTTCTCATATACTTTTTCAAAATTTTACACTAGCTATCACACCTGACGCAACCTCATCTAGTCGCCTCTTACAACTGGCAGAAGAACTGTGGAAGTATTCTGATCCTCTTCTACAGGGGGAAGAGTCTTTATAATATATTAACAATAAAAAATGTATTAATAATTGTATAGTGAAAAACATGAAGTACTACATTTAATAATTAATTTTTAATCTACGATGTGGTATCGTTAATCTAAATATTAATAATTGTTCACTATTTACTAACTAATTGTTAACAATACTCAAATATCGTTAACAGATATACTATTTAACCTAAAAAATAAAAAATTTAAAGTAATAAAAGCTTCTAAAAATAACAGCATATTTAAGTGCCAAATATTATATGAATTATTTAACCGATTTAATTTTGAATATTTATATAGCTTGGTATTAAGGTGATTGAATGCATTCGTATTGTCAGTGACGTATTTTGAAGATTTTAAGGTTGATCGCAGGTATAGACAAATTTAAAGTGGTGAATGAAAAAGGCGTATTATTCAAGTTACTTTTCAGCTGTCTGGGGTTATTATTCAACGAATAATGGAAAACATTTATAACACTGTATGCATTTTATAAAAAAACTTCATAGATCTTATTTTAACTCCATTTTAGATTACAAGCAGTAATCATTCATTATTAATTTATGTAAACGTTTTCGTTGGTTTCTTTGTACTCTCTTAAAATAATAGCCAATGAGGAAAAAACACAACAAAAGAGTAAGACGTCTTAGCAACTAGTGTATCCTGAAAATAAAATGTTTAAATCACTGGCTGAAAATAAACGCATACTTAAAATAATAATGAAATTACGTTATTTTTATAGATTACATTTTACTTTCCAGCTTGATTTCAGACTTTTAATTACTTTGTTATATTGTTTATAAAAAATATATTTATTTTTGTTTTGTGCATTTTTTTCTCTGCTACCCTATAATCTTTCATTTTGAATATATTATTTTTTTTTTTTTTTAACTATATGAAAACTGATTACTCGATTGTTATTTCTGTTCGGGCATTCTTTAGATAGAACTTTACTATTTTAAGTATCAACTTCAAAACACTTTTCAAATGGGTTTCATATACAGCGTGTATTATATTCTTCTCATTGTGAAACACATTTTATGTTTTCAGTCTTAAGAACATGACGTGGGATAATTATATCAAACCGTTGGATGTATACATATATATAACAGTGGCGTATTTACGGGGGGATATGGGGGATAGATCCCCCCCCCTTGACCTTTTTTTTTTCCTAGGTAGCTATAAGTGTCTCATTTTCTCTAATATTCTTAATATGATATTACTTTCAAGCATGTATGTTTTCTGTTTTCTAAATGTTCTAGTCGTGGTAATTGTACCGCTCTGATAGTCTGATATACTAATCGCCACTAATCGTTTATCGTTGGCGGCATGTACGACTATCAGGCAACAAAAACTATACCTATATTATGGTGTACTGTATTTTGTACGTTTCTGCGAATTATTTTTCATGCAAGAGTGTTTATAATAAACCCGATAAGCAATCGGTAAACAAAACAAAATGACCATGAAGATCGTGGATTAACCATAGGGCGGCCGTGCGAGTTTATTTTTAGAAAATTTGTTACTAGTAGATTTATGGCTAATGTATAGCTATATATATATATTTTATCGTATGATATCGTGATTCGTTAGGCCATCCACACACGGTACAACTGTTTTGCGACGAGAATCTCAAATCAGTTGCGCGAAAAACCATTTGACAACTTTGCATGAGTAGCGAAATAGGAAACCGCACACTTTTCGACTAAAACCAAATCGATTTATAATCAGTTTCCAATTGGTCATGTGCGACTATGCTTGCAGGTCGAATATCAGTTTCAATTGCGTGGTTGCATTGTAATAAATGATTAATTAATTACTTAACATTTATTAAAATTATTATTTTATTATTATAATGATTATATTATATTTTAATAAACTGAAAATTCATTCATGAATTAGCAAACATTAAATTTGTCGAGGAGGTAGAAAAACATGAACTTTTGTACAATTATAATCTTTCTGGATATTCAAGAAAAGACCTGACAGAAAAAGCATGGCACGAAATAGCAGCCAAAGTACACATGACAGGTTTCCTAACATCAATTCGCATACAACTGCGTACACTGGTCGAAATTCGATTGACTCGTGTGCGGAGAGTATATATAAATCAATTGCTAACCAATTGCACAACAGTTGCCAGCGAGACTGATCTGAGATTCTCGTTGCAAAACAGTTTTACCGTGTGTGGAGGACCTTAAAAGTAGATATGTACGGTCGTTGGACGTTGACGGATAGCGACGCCGCGCCATTCCGAGTACTGACTTACTGCCGAATTGACTATTGTTCGACTTTATTTTTTGCGTCTTGTAAGTTGTAACTGTGAAGTTTTAAGACAATATGAGAAATACTCAAAAACAAAAAAAAACTTTATTTTCTTATTTTAGTACAAATAAAAAAATTTGTTTGGAAAATGATGAGGTAATTATAAAGATTAATAAAATAATTAATTAAAATTATAAATTGTCATTAATTGTTTTTTTTTTATTAATTTGTTTATTTGGCTATTTAGGCTGCATCTGAAGAAGTAGAACATCAGTTATTGCAATCCACATCAAAACCTATTACAAATATAAATGATATTGGTAATATCGTTGATAAATCGTTTTTAAATGATACCGATACAAAACTTGTAAGTTTCTTTGTTCCTTACTATTTTTACATCGTTTATGATTTAAATACATTTTTATTCAATATAAATTCAGTAAATTGATTTATAATAAAATTTAAAAAAAGATCTTTTGTTCTAGGTGCTTACTAATCCGTGGGTCCCAGATACAAAGTATAACTTTCCTATATTTGAATGCAATAAAAAACGTGGACTGAAATTCCAACATAAGTGGCTTCATGAATTTAAATGGCTTTGTTATTCAGAAATTAAAAGTGGTGCTTTCTGTAAACACTGTGTTTTATTTGCAAAGAGTGGTGGTGTTGGAAGTCAATGTTAGGGAAACTTAGTAACTGAACCCTTTACAAACTGGAAAAAGGCTAAAGAGGTTCTAATTTTTTTGTAATTTGTAATCACGTAATTTTTTAACAAATGATTAAATGCTTTCCAGGTTTTTCGATATCATATGAATTGTAAATATCATTTGTCAGCAGTTCTTGATTCTGAGCATTTTTTGAAGTTTTTAAACAAAGAAAAACCATCTATAATCGAACAAATTGATAGAAATAGGTATTATTATTTTTATACCATAAATTAAATTTAGGTAGGTTTCTGCCATGCCCCGGGGTGGGGGATATATTTTATTTTATTATATTATAATATGTATTATATTTTGTGTCAATTACCTAGAATGACTCAAGTTGAAGAAAACCGCAAAAGACTTAGACCGATTATTGAATGTATATTATTATGTGGCAGAGAAGAATTAGCATTACGCGGTCATAAAGATTTAGGTAGCATTTCAGTTGACGGTGAGTTTATATTTATAATGCATTTCTTGAATTATTTTGTTCAATTTTTAATTGTATGGTTATTAGAAGATGCTTTGAGACAAGGAAATTTTCGGGCCATACTTAAATATAGAGCAAAAGGTGATGATTTTTTACGAAGTATTTTTGAGGGTCCAGGGAAAAGAAATAAGTACACCAGTCCTACTATTCAAAATGATACAATAGAGTCCTGTAATACAATACTATTGAGAAAAATTGCAAAAAAAGTGAACGAGTCTAAATGTTTCTCGGTACTTGCCGATGAAACCACAGATATTTCAACAAAAGAACAGCTTGCTATTTGTGTAAGATATGTCAGTGATGATAACATGTTGCATGAAGATTTTTTACAATTTTTTGAGATTTGGCAAATTTGGTGAAGCTTTGGCAAATTCCATATTAAATGGTAATCATGATTTATACTATAGTATTAAATAATAACTATTCGTACATATTTGTATAAACTACTTAGTTATTATCCTTTTTCCAATATTAAGTGTAAATTACAATTTTGTTTTATAGGTTTAAGCAAATGTGGGATTGATTGTAGTTATTTGCATGGACAGGGCTATGATGGGGCCAGTAATATGTCTGGGCAATTTAGAGGTGTACAAAGTATTGTTAGGTTAAAATATCCAAAAGCAGTTTATGTCCATTGTTCAGCACATTCACTGAACTTAGCGGTATCAACAGCTAGTGGTATTAGACCAATTAGGAATTGTTTAGGAATAATTGAAAAGGCCTATCAGTTTTTCAATACTCCAAAAAGAAAGTCTATTCTTCTACGTGAGATTAAAAATTCAGACCACGAGCCCAGTGTAAAACAATTAAAACGACTATGTGCTACCCGTTGGGTACAACGGTATGATGCAGTGAACGATTGCTCTGAGCTCTATCCATTCGTTCTTAAAGCATTAGACACAATATCTGATTGGAAAGATCCAGCAGATGTCTCTATGCTTAAACATTATATGGAAGATACCGAATTCTTAATTTCGTTTTATATAGTTAAGGTATTCATAAATGTTTCAATTTTTTACAATACAATTTATAACCTACTTAGTGTTTTAATTGAATTTTTTTTTCAGTTCCTATTTTCTTTTTGTCTTCCTCTGTGTAAGCAGTTACAAAAAGTACAAATTGATTTAAAAAAAACTATAACTATAGTTGAAAATGTAGTAATCACTCTGAAGACCATTAGAGACAATTACAAAACCGAATTTAGTCAAATCTATATAAATGTCAAAGTAAATAATTTAAAAAAATAATTTCATTGTGTTCAAATTTCAAAATGTTTAATATTTATCTTCTAGATGGCTGCAGACAATGTTGGTATTGAATTAAAAAAAAAGAGAGTCATTTCAAAACAAACTTTGAAAGATAATCCAAATCTTCTGGATTGTTCCATTGAACATTATTATTGTGTTACAGTATTTTTACCGTATGTCGATTACTATTTAATGCAATTGACTGAGCGATTTATTAATCATAAAGCTATATTTGAAGGTAAATATATTATATGTATTATATTTAATATTTATACACTTTTTTTTAGAATTTGCAACTTTATACCTATAGCATAATTTATTTTATAGGTTTTAATTGCATTTTCCAATCAAAATCACTTATGGTAGAAATGGAAGATATTGTTGCTTTTCAAAAGCTTGTTGAGTTTTATTCATCTACAATTGACCAACACTCTAGCATTGCTGAATTAAAGATGTGAAGAGTAAAGTTAGTGAATGAAAAAATTGTATTCACCTCTGGGTTACATGCTTTAGATGTTTGTGATAAAGAGTTTTATCCAAATATTCATGAACTCTTGAAAATTTTTTGTACATTGCCTGTCGTAACCCGGCGTGCCGTCTCACCTCTCATAATTATAAAATGTCATAAAATGTACATTAAAACAATTAAGTTATAAAACAAATATTAGAACCCTTTGAAACTATTATTTCATATAATAATTCATATTATATTGTAATAAATAGAAACGTAATATTTTAATAAGAATTTGATTATATTATGTATAGTAATAATAAGAATATACTGATAATTTAACTTATCAAATAACCTTATACTTGGTCAGTTAATATAATTATTTCAATTATTTTGCAGTTTTATTTTATATTTTTATCACAAAATTGTATAAATAATTTTTTTAATTCGTTTTAAATAAAACTATTATATTTTCAGTCATAGTTATAAAATAATATCTAAAAAATCCTTTAGAAGTATAAAACTAAATATCTAAAAGTATTAAAAAAATTATAATCCCAGGAGTTTGCTTTATATTAGAAACTTCTGTTTCTAATTGAAGGCAGGTTGCTGTTGAAAAATTTACATAAAGAAGGTTATCTGTTTAACATTTCTTATATTTTTCTATCTTATTTCATTTATCCTTTGGGTAACAATGTATAAGAAACGTTTTTTTCTAAGTAATTTATAAAAGAAACAACGATCATTGAGGATAGTGAAAATAAAGACATTTTCTACGGTTACTGTTTTGGTAAAGAAACAGGAGTAAATGGACACTATATTCTTATTAATTTATTTTTTCGTAATAAAAAAACTTATCAAATTGTGTTACTATTATTTATTATCCAAAGATGTAATTTCATATAAATTAAAAACAATATATTTTATTCTTTATTAAACGAATATTAATTTTTTTTAAGTATCTAATAAATTATGTTTGGATAAATAATAAAACTGTACGCATAACCTTTTTTAATTTTACTTGAGATTTTTTAAAAAGCTATTCACATAGTTTTTTATTTAGTTGATAAAATGAAAAACCTATAAATATGTAATATATATATGAAATATATATTATATAGATATATAAAATTTAATTAAAAGATTAAATATGCGTAGGCCAAAAATAAAAAACAAAATCATAGCAAAAAGAAATATGGTCAAATTAAATAATATATAACATAGGTACTCTTATTCAATTTAAAAGTATACAATTGTTTAGATATAAATAATTTTATACAGTTACCGCTAAATGATAAAGTTGATTGAAATAATACAACTTTAACCTCTCATCTAGGGATGGCAAAAACAAATATCGATATTTTGGCATCGATATTTTCTCTCCGATAATATCGGCACATCGATATTTTTAAGTTTTCGATATATCGAAGTCAGGGAAATTTTTGCCATCCCTACTCTCATCGCCAAGTATAATATTATATTTTATTTGACGGAAAATGACATATATAATATATATATATATATAATCTAAAAACTATTAAGGCAATTCATAACAAACGTGAATATTATTAATACTAATGATTTTTTTTTACATGAGACTAAATTGACAAACATAAAATTGACGAGAGAATCATTCACTGTTGAGCCTTGGAAAATGAAGATGCTATTATTATATATAAAACGAAAATGTTCGAAGCAATTATTTCAAACCTATCTAGAAAATTAATGATCATCAACTTTGACCGAGTCCCAATTTTCTTTTTCAATATTAATCGTTGAGGAATCTCATAACGAGAAAAATTGTTAAGACATGATATCGACATTTAATTTTTTGAATTTTTTGAATTTTTCGAAAGCGTGTTAAACATTTTTATAATGTTATTATAATTATAATGTGCGAGAAAAACATTTATAATTCATCATCATGTTTTGAAACTAATAGTATAATACACTCAAATTTTGTACCATGGTGCGGAATAGAGAGACACGTATCAATATGGGAGCCTGAAACCCTCTTGTATATCTCATTGAAATGTGAAGAGTTTCGTCAAACATTAAACGAAATGCCTTGGACATGCCGAAAGGCTGCATGGCAAAATGGATCGATTTTAAAACCTTCGTTCTCATGATCTTTAAACATTTATTTCAAGCATCTACAAACAAAAACGGGACATGGAACTCGATCGAGTTTCAAACACTTCCATCATAAATACCTACACATAATGAAATACATTACAATACGAATAACACTAAACTTCTCTTAGCAAAAGATTTAAAAATAAAAATAAATTAACTAGCTGAAACTGATTGTAATCACAAATTTTTTTCTTAGAAAATTATATAAATACACTTTTGTTATTTTATAATAAATGCATACTAAATGTTTACCATTTAGCAATTTCACAATCATCGACCTTGAAAGGTTCTAGATACATTTAAAATTTACCATACGTTGTCAAATTGTATGATGATTTTAATGTAAATAAAACTGAAATTTAATTTTGTATAATTATTTCAGATTCAAATACATACATATTATATGTATTAGAAAGCTCTAATAAACTTTCTTCGTTAAAATATAAGATTTAAGGACATACAACTTATAATTTGATCATCTAAATTTGTCAAAATCGTAATTGTTAGCAAACGTAAAAAGCTTTAAATTATGTTCGATTTCATAACAGTAAACAAGTGTAATTTAACATTTATTAGAAAATACGAACTCTTTTTAAATTTATAATTAGATTACACTTACAAATCACATGCATACTATCCATAATATAAGCCATACGAATAATATCCATTATGCGATATTTTATATTTTAATTAAATCTTATACATTATTGTTGAGGAATATTTGAATACTTTATAGTTTGAAGTTTAAAGGACTTAAGATAAAAGATAAAAAGACTTAAGATAAATACTCCTACATCAATCCACGCAACTATTTTTAACTTCTAACTGTAATATAGATTGAGTTGTAAATTATTACATCGTTATTTACATACTTACATTTTGTATGCTAAATTTTTCATAATGAAAAACCTGGCCTTTCAATGTAAATTTTATTGATTACGAAACATTTAAAGTTTAAAGGTTTACAATTAATGATAAATGTATAAACGTAATGTTTTAATCAAACCGATTAATTAGTTCGTAGCAATGTTTTTTTTTTTTGACTGTAAAATCCGTACCATTGTAATGTGTAATCAATATGTACCTAAATAAAAATATTTTTGTTTAAGCAAATTCCTCTACGTTTCTATAACGAATTTTTACTTTTATTCATGCGAAATAGTTAACAATACTTATTGGAATGCTACACATCAAGTGACTCTGCATGATGTTGAACACTGCATTCGTTCGATACGTGTTGGTTATCGTACCTACATAGATTTAAAAATATGCAGTTAGCTAACGTTTAACGACAATTTGTCCCATACTATTTACGTTGCGGAACATAAAAACGATTTTTCGAACGTCTTACACGTCATGCGCCTGACTCGAATAAATATTATGAACGTGGGCCAAAGCTAGATTTATATTTCTTAAAAAGATTCTTTTTGCAAGTCCGAATGTTTGGTCCGACATATATATATATTAATATATCTATATGGAAAACAACAGATCGTGATAAATATTTTAAATTTCCTGAGCAGAAGAATTTTGATGATGATAAATCGGCTGACGTTGAATTGAGTCCCGGATATTTTCATAGTGTGTTTGAATTGAGTCCCAGGTATTATCTTAATGTCTTTGAATTGAGTCCGTATAGATATAAGGTATCAAAACCATCTATATAGCCGGTGACGACCTTAAACTTCACACATCATATTATAGCGAATACGAATCTTGAAACGATAATCTCTATATTCATCGACGGCTTAGTTCGATATACTCGTCGAAAATCAAACAGTCGTGCCGAATACATAGTGAAATACTTCGTGAACACAACATTGAAATATGGAGTCCATGCCGAGTGAAAAAAATAAAACAATTTTGATTATTAAAGGTTATAAGTTTAGATTTAATAAAATGTTGCAAGACAAGGTTCAACGATAGACATGTTGTAAAAACTCATGTAAGTGTTATTTTAAATTATCTTCTGATAATGTTATGTTAAAAAACTGCAATGAACACAATCACGAAAAGTGTGACGAAAAAATACTGAATAGACAAAAAATTAGTAACGCTGTTAAAAGAAAAGCTGTGGACGATATTTCTATACGGCCATCAAAAATTTTGCATACTGAGTTTAAAAATGGTGACATTTCAACTCTCACGACAAATGACGTTATATTAATCAAACAAAACATTCACCATGCTCGTTCGTTGCTTCATCCAAAATTACCTAAAAGTTCATACGAAACTCAAAATGCATTAAAATCGAAGAATATTATAACAAATAATGACGAAAACTTTATGTTTTTAAATTACTTCGAAAAATCGATAGTAGGATTTTCGACGAAAATTAGTTTAAATGTTTTGTGTGATGTTAAAAAAATATATATTGACGGGACATTTAAGAGCTATCCTAAATACTTCACCCAGATTTTTACGATTCATGGTTACTTTAAAGATATATATGTTCCTCTTGTGTTTTTGCTGTTGCCCACGAAAGATTCGAATACTTATGTTGAAGCATTTCAACATGTTATTAATTATTGTACATCGCTAAGTTTGACATTTCACCCTTCAAAAATTTATGTAGATTTTGAAAATGGAATCCATAATGCTATTAAACAAGTCTGGATCGGTGTTAGAATTAAAGTGTGTCGATTCCATTTGGGCCAAAGCTTGTGGCGAACAATTCAGAAGTTGGGTTTGTCTAAGGAGTACAAGTCTGATTCTAATAAAGGTAGATATTTTAAGTATTTTTTCGGTTTGCCATTTTTAAACGAAAATGAGGTAGTCGAATGTTTCACGGAAGATTTAATGGCAATAAAACCATGTAATGATGAAAAAATTGACAAGTTTACAGATTACATTTTAAATAATTACATTGACGATGATGTTGCACAGTTTCCCCCAAAAATTTGGAGTGATTTTTCAGCAAACACTAATCGGACCACTAACAGTTGTGAAAGTTTTTACTCAAAATTAAATGGATTTTTTCAATCAGG